GGAAAAAGAGAGAAATAAATTTTGAAAATTATATATATATATATATATATATATATATATATATATATATATATATATATATATATAATTTTTTTTTTTTCCATTTGATTTTGGGGATACTTTGTTTAATGTTAATGTTAAGGTCAATTAAATCCACCATAATTTAGTAAAAAAAAAGAAAAGGCACTAATATTGCAAAAATGTAAAATGCTTGATGACTTTGAGTCAAAAGTGGATTTAAAATACAAACTCCTCATTTGAGCTCAGACTACATTTTTTATTGTTTTCCTTTGTTGATTTACTTGAACTCTTGCGTAACATGACCTCATGTTTACTAGATCGGTGACTTCGCAGCAAGAAGTCGCCGACAGTGAGCGAGGTGTCTGCTGGCTGACCTGGGTTGGCATAGTAACAAGGTTTTATATCTTCTGGGAATTATGGAAAATTATCCAGCATGCATATACATAGAAAAAACAAGAGAATTATCTCAGGGCATCTCTTCCAGGTTGGAAAGAAAATACCTTTTTGTGTGTGTGTGAGTGAAGAGAGCGTACTGTTAGCTGTCAAGAGGGAGAGTCAACAGAGGCACGCGTTTGAAGATCCAATTAAAATCCCTGTTCATATGGAGACGCTGGATTAGAGTTGGTTTGGAGGGAACTCAAGAAGCAACCTATTCATTATGAAGGTTGCTAAGTAACCAGGCAATCAGGTCTGGTATGCTGTGGAGGAACAGAGAGGGTCACCTGGTTTTTTTATCGCTGTCCTGGGAATACAGCAGGAATTTTAGTCTCCGTTCAGCGTTTTTCTTTCTTTCTTTTTTTTTTTTTTAGATATTTTTTATTTTATATTTTGAAAGAACTAATACATTTTCTTAAAGAATCGTGGAACCTGCAAGATAGAGCCATTCTGGAGGATGGAGGGATGAAATGGCTCATCGCACAATCAGAAAACATTTAACATTTTGGAGAGTCTCTTTCCGAGAAACTTTCTCATTAATCAATGACCAGAAAAGGTTGAGTTAAAGAGTACCAAGTGTTTTCTGGAGGCCACAGTAGCTTCAGAGCTGATGTGTAATTTATTCCAATTCTATTGGCTGACATGTGGGCGGATAACCTGCTGCTGCACCTGACTCCAGGACAGATTTCCTATGGGAGGTCCCTCATGCATAATTAAGACTTTCCACTAATCTTTTTATTTTTTTATTGAGCAATTATTGTTTCAACAGCGCTCTTTTGTTACATAAAACAAATAACTGTAATTTTGATCAAGTCCTCTGGAAGAGGAGAAAAAAGGAGAAATGTTCATGTTTTTTTCTCAGAATTTTGACTTTAATGCAGACAAGCTCCTGGGAGCAACCAGCTTCAAAGATAGAGATGTGCGTTGTGAAGAAGAACTACATTTCTGGATAAATTAATCAGATTTAATTGGTGAAGAAAGTCAGAATTCTCTTCTTTTTTATCTTTCAGTGACCTAAATTCTGTTCCAGAAAGTCCTCTAAGATACTAACACTAATACTAATCTAAGATACTAATTTCTACCTAGTAGAAATTGTGACTACAGTGGACTATTCATAAGAAAAAAGTATTTATTTTCATTCTCTCTATATATTTTGTACTTTTTTTTCTGTTGGTGTAGCTCATGCAATTTCAATAAAATGCATCAAAGTTTTTGATTGGAAAGTAGGAAAAGCAAGGTTTTCTCCATTAGCTTAACTCAATGCCTTTGTCGGCAGAGATTCTGTGTTTTGAAATCTAAAAAGTAGCTTTTTTGTTGTAGATATTTTCACAATCGGATGTAGTACTGCATCATATAACAATAAAGCAAACACACCAATTCATTTGTGATTAAAGTTGATCACCTTTGAAAGCATCTCACAAGGAAAAGACTATATAGACTTATATGTAAAGTAGTCAATTTGCCTTAAATGTGAAGCAACTCATTTTGTTGTCTGGTGGATTTCTTTTTTCTGAATGGGGGCCTGATTTATCAATGTATGTAGTTAATACTATAGTGTTTGGCATGCGTCTCGAGAGCTTTTGGGCATGGGGAGCCCTCATGAACAAAAGAACCCAAGTAGTTTTTCTTCGGGAAAAGTCAGAGAATATAAGGCTGATTTTTTAGGGTTTGTTTGCATATAAGAGTTAAATACTGTTTTGTTTTGTTTTGAATTGTTGTTTTCTTCTTCTTCTTTTTATCAAGGAACCATCAATACAGTTCAGATTTTTTTTATGACTTACTCATTTAAGGAAAAATTTGAATGTCCTTATTTCTAACTGAGGTCCTTTGTATATTTGCCCTTCAGTTGCCCTGCTTGGTTTTGTTCTTCCTCTCTGGAAGGTTACGTAATACCATAGAAAATTAATATTAATTCTATTGTTTATTATTGTCAAGTACGGCTGAAATATCACGTTAAATGCCTTAATGTATTTTAAATGAGTTATTTATTACGGATGTGACGTGTACATAATGTGACTGAGACGGTTCTGGACCTTATCAGTCACGTTTGTGTTTATTCGCCTTGGACCCTTGTCTACCATTGAGAAACCAATAATTAGAGAATTATGGAAAGTTTTACATTTTAAGTCTTCATTAAGTTTCATTAATTTATGTCTTTGAATTTTTTAGTTATTAGAAATGTAGTAAATCATATATTTGTAAAGTTAAGGTTAAAACATTATGTGTACTGCTTTAAGCTCCGCCAGCGGTGCACGCTGATGATATAAGCAAGCGGCTCTATTGAGTCGATGGAATTACGTATTGCTAGCGTCAGGTCGAACTTTTTTTTCCCCTCACAGATGGGTGGTTCCTTCTGAGAGGCGTTGCCATACAGCACCAGGAATATATACCCGCAGCCACTTACTCTGTTTCATACGTTGCGCACCGTGTTGCCATTTCTAGCACTGCTTACTTCGCCCTGTGAGATATCTCGTGAAACACTGTCTTCGCCATGGCCGACTACATTCACGTCCCTGACGAGGCTCCCGCTGTGCCCAAAATAGATGTGACGGTCGATGAGAACGACTACCGACCCGGTGCATTGCGGCTAATGAAGGAGCTCAGACCGAGCTGGAAGCCGTCCGAAATTAAAATGAAGGTAATATTTATGTCGTTTTATTTTAGAAGACGTTTTTTAAAATTACTTTGTTCAGTGGACTGCATTTTGGCACGCTCTAAAACGAAATGTGAGGGTTTTTCTTTTTTCTTTTTTTTTTTTTTTTTGCTATCTTCGAGTTAGCTAGTTAGGTGTCCCATTTAAATAAACGTCACAGGCTGACGTCAGATGAAACTGAGGGATTATAATATCATTGCAAGGCGCTGAAAGGACAAATATATGCTATATTCCAACTAAGTTACATTTCATAGCATCCAAAAGTGGTGAATAAACTTATAGATAGATGCAGATATAGAAGGTGACCCTTTTATCATGAATATTTTAACTTTGCGGTTAGCATCTAGAACAGAGTATTTTGCTTTCGCTTTTTATTGGCTGTAAAACTCTGCTTGCATCTCCGTTTCATTTGTTAAGGTAACATAACTGCTTATGTATGGAGCAGTTTTTACCGAAAGCTTGGCATAACTATGTACATTTGTTCGCAGTGGTGTTTCTATCACGACTGGCGCCCAGGGCGAGGCCATACTCCCCTAACCCCGCTCCCCCTCCCAAAAAAAAAGAAAAAAAAAAAGGTTAAGAACAACGGATATGTAGTTTATTATAAATATGGAAAAAATGGGGATTTTAATATTGACACTTAGTTTTGTCCCCCCCCCCCCCCATATTTGTTTTCTCATATATAGTTTTAAAGTAATAAAGTTTTATTTGCTGTTGTGACATATGTTGTAATAATTGGGAATCTATGTATCAATTACATATTTGAAATAGACTTTTAGACTTTTTTATTATTATTTATCTACACTGCCTCACAGCAGAGGTGCTTTTTCCCACGGAAAAGCATAGAAAACTTGTTTGGTTTGAATCTTGGATAACTCCCCCCCGGCCCCCCGTATGTCTCCCATATCATGAAGCACCACTACTTATTAGGTTGTGAAGTTAGGCAAGCCGATAATTGGAGCTAAGAGATCAGAAGGATTTCATAAAGCAGCTTTGGAAACTTCTGGAAGAAACATCGACGACCGTGTGAGCTTGACTCTGACGTTTGCATTTATGATTTGAATAATTCGCATAATCTAATCCTTTAAGATTACAGATGTCCTAAAGTCAAACAGTACTTGACTCACGCCATCGGCACAGATAAATGCTGTGAGTCACACGTAAATTAGTCCAAGCAGAGCAGGAAAAAAATGTTCCTCTCCTGTGATAACCCGGGGGTGTGGCTCAGCTTTGTAAACACAACCAGGATGGAGGATCACATGCCCCGCTGCCTTTCCCTGTACTCATCAATGAGGCAAAGTGGAGGGTTCAGCAAATACCAGTTAAAAATAAAATTCCACGCAATCCTGTCATTCTCCATCAGTCCAAGTCATAGTAAACAGTCTGACTGTTGTGTAGAAAGCTCAGATCCCCTTTTGTTTGCCCCCCAGTAAATTTCCAGCTTTGTTGTGCCGATAGGTCAATTTAAATTGGTCAAGCAAAGTCACCCTTCTGTTTCACCCTGCTTTACTGTATTAATGTTTACCACATCCCGACCTGCTCTGAGCTTAATGGTTAAATCCTTCAGCACTTCATTCATTTGCCTTTTTTGTAGTTGACCTATTTACAACTAGATGCTTTACATTTGAATATATTTTTTTGATTTTAAAAAAACAGAGCAATTCATTCTATGGAAGTACAAACAAAATTCAATAGCTAAGCAGGTTTCTGTGTTTGTGGCCACAGCAGATCACTGTCAAGTTAGTCACTTCTCTGCTAATGTTTAACAGATTAAACATAAAAATAGAAGGTTTTCTAAATTTTTATGAATACTTCCACATTAATTTTATTTCGTCTGTATGTAGGCAACTTTTAGCTAAACTATACTTTATGAAATAAATAGACCTGTCACAATAACGTATTTTACTCGACGTTAAATTGTCCCAGAAATTATTGGGATAAACGGTAATAGTTTTGCTTTTGAGACCACTTTCAAGCAATATAAAGCAATGATCGCATAATAACGCAAGTTTACCCTATCAAATAATAATAATTGTATATATATATTTAAATGCGACATTGGAATTAGAAAATATTTTAAATATCTAAAATTAATAGTAATAATAATAATAAAAAAAAGATCAAAAACATTAAATAAAACCCACCATAAATGAAATGGACTGTAAAGGAATCAAAGCCCTGGATATCTGATCCACCGCTATAATCCTTGCTTCTCAATTGCAACCGCTGCAGTGTGCCTATAATGTTTACCAAAGTAGAACCAGATGAAGCTAGTTTTATAGTAATGCTTCTGCCCTAATGAGTTGTTTTTAAACACAGGTCTGTCAACTGGAGTTAAAATAATGCAAGAAGTATACAGGTTGGTACTCAAAGTCACATCCATGGCCCTACATTTAACTGCAGGTAATGTTGTTTGTCTCTGCAGTTTTTCACCGATGGAATAACCAACAAGCTGCTTGGCTGCTATGTGGGGGCAGTCATGCAGGATGTGGTCCTGGTCCGCATATATGGCAACAAAACGGAGCTGCTGGTCGACCGGGACAACGAGATTAAAAGTTTCAGAGTGCTGCATGCTCACCGCTGTGCTCCCCGCCTTTACTGCACCTTCAACAATGGTCTCTGCTACGAATTTCTGCAAGGAACCGCCTTGGAACCGGAGCACATCCGTAGCCAAGCTGTTTTCAGGTAAGGGAAGAAGACAAACTGGTACAAAAATCCCAATATGCAATCAAAACGGTAAAAGTGCTAAGTTACATTTTTAATTTTTATCTTCATACTTTCTTTTTAAGCTCCAGTGAAATATGGTGCCGATTTTTGTTGTTTTGTTTTTTTCATCTGATAAGTCGATCATGAGAATCACCTTCAATGTTCTGCATTTCCATTGACCATATAATTGAGCAAATTGGAATTACAAAAAGAAATTTGCTTAACAGAAACACAGCAAGTTTGAAATATCTCATGATTTTTGATAGTTTTTGCACTAGAATGAGGTGATTTATTTTTTTTAGTGCTTTTAGAAAAGTGTGATGGAAAGACTATTTTTTTGTTTTTTTCATCGCGCAAGTCGTGATCAATGCCAGATGTTACTGCTGGCGGAAAAGACAAAGAAGACGACATGAAGTAGTTAGACGATGACGGGTTGGCATGTTTTTCAATGACTTATGAACAAAGTTCTTCATATGTGATTTTAATTGCGATTGCAAAATTGAGTTTTTTCAACATCAGTGGAATATAGAAAAAGTTTTGTGTTCATTTGTAATGGAAAGGCAGCTGGTGTCTAATGAAGGAAGAATAATACAGGAACCAAAGTTGATTGATGCGATTACAAATGCTTGATCTGTATGGACTAGAAAGCCTTCTACTGTAAGAGCTGATTATTTTATAATTTCTCTTTTTGATGCCTTGTGTCATATTGCTATTGGTAATAAAGCAAACAAAATACAACCTTGGTTCTTTGCTCTAATTTTTCCATGTTCAAATTAAAATGACATTTCCAACTCGAATCTATATTTACACATCTGTAAGCTGTTTAGCAGTATGGGGCATATCTTTGGTGATATTGGTTTACAAAGACATCTTTTCGTATTGATATTCGATTCCCTTGCCATGCAGGCTTATTGCGAGACAGCTGGCCAAGTACCATGCCATCCACGCCCACAATGGCTGGGTTCCCCGCTCTGACCTGTGGCTGAAGATGGGCAAGTACTTTACGCTCATTTCCAAGTGCTTCAAGGATAATGACAGGTGAGTGCTTGACTCTTAACTCTTAAACGATTTAAAAATTCACTTCTTCTTGAAAAATGCTGCATCTAGTGGCGTTAATGGGAAATATGATCTAGTCTGCATTGCATTGGTAGTAAAATATGTTAAGAACTGGTTTTGGTAGTTAGGAAACAATGAGCTACGGACGTCCTGTTTCTGTTGGGTTGCTAAATTCTGTGTACCAGCCACAGCATTCCCAGGAACCCAAATTGCAAGCAGAACATGAAGTCATAATGAGATAGTCACTTATGCTTTTCCTCACCTGGGAGGTGTCATGTGTTCATTTGTCTCTGATAGATGGGATTTTTATGCAAAGGCAAAAAAAAAACAAACTTAACTAGTTCTTGTCATAAACCAGCCTATTTTCTTGCTTAACACATCGGCATGGCTCAGAGTGTGGACCTTTTGGCTCCTTCCAGGTTGAACCTGGAGGTCCCCAGCCCTCAGTCCCTCCGCAAAGAGCTGCTGTGGCTGCAGCAGAGCTTGTCTGTGCTGGGCTCTCCTGTAGTTCTTTGCCACAACGACCTGCTTTGCAAAAACATCATTTATAACAAGAGGGAAGGTGAGTACGAGTCAGAGGTGCAGTCTCCGACGTTTCTGTGTGAGTGGTTGCTGGTGTGAGTCTTTGTATTAGGCAGGGATGCATTCAGGGGATTTAATCTCCTGCACACTGCTTGGTAGTGTTTGTGTTCACCTGCAAACATAGAATTAGATCAGATTAGACATTCCCGTTCCTTGTTCTGCCATAGTTTCTACTTCATATAAAGGTAAGATTCAGCCCAACTTAATATGTGTAATACTTTAGAATTTTCATTCATTGCAAATTAGCTCAATTTTAAGAGTTTACATTTTTTTTAATTTAGTAATTTTTTATGTCAAAGTCCTAATTCTGTGCTGCTTTTACTGAAGTTGGAACAATAACATTAAATGAGTTTGCATACTAAGTATTTGAGTTTATTCTCCAGAGGCTGTAATGTTACCACTTTGCTGTCCTACTTTTACACAAAGCAGCATCTTTCTGGCTAGTCTGTGAAACTGTTCTACTTTGTTGTCTTTGTTGTCGATGATAACAATAAAACACAATAGGTAAACGGAAGAGCATAGTCCGGTAGGTGGGGTGAAGGAGGATGTGCGAGCTGTCGGCCCCCTCGTCTATTTGCGACGTGGCGGGGGGGAGGAGGAAATTCTCACAGCTCCTTGTCTAGCTTTTCTCCCCCAGGAGTGACGGCGGAGGCTTTGACTGCCGCTGCTGCTGCTGGGCCGCCCTGCCCTTTGGGGAGGCAGTGGAGAGAGACTAACCAGCACTGTGAGGGACCCTCATGTAGTGTGCCCACTGCTCAGGCTAATCGGGATGAGTTCATGGCAGCAGTGGGAGCCACATACATGCGTATCAGCAGTCAGTTTTTCACATGACATCTTAATATCAGTATTTTAATCACAGGGATGACTAAATGGTTACAAAAAATATGATGGTGTGATATTCTGATTTTTCCTGATATTATATCTACAGACAAGACCAAACCCAAACCTTAAACCACAGTATGTTGATAAATTCTCACTGTTCAGTCAAGCAAAACTTAAAATAAATTTGTGAATCTGCTGATTATATAATACATTTTGAGGAAGATCAATTCAACAAGTATTTATTCTGGAAAGTTTGACAGCTTGTGACTTGTGGAAAGTGTTGGTTCTGGTCCTGACATGGGTGTAATCGACATGAGTAACATAGAATATCAACTTATATCTTTATAGGCTGAAACATGCTTACGTGAAGACAGTTTAAAAGGAGCTGTACTACATATTGTTTAGTCGACATGCTCACCTGCAGCACGGATGGATTCAGCCGAGATGGCGATCAGTGTTTCCTGAACATGTCCCAACACAGGAATATCCATTACGTGTACAATTGCCCAATACGATCTTAAAGGAATCCTTTCTTGAACTCATGGGTCAGTAGGCATGAAATCTATGTAGGTGCTTTCTCTTGCACAACCATGTATCAGGTGTCACGGTGTTGGTTAAACAAGTTCAGGTGCTGTTGGCAAGTTAGTCAGAAATCTTTGCAGGAAAAATACTTTTGACCCATCCCAGATCACCAGATATCTTAAAATACAAACACAAAAATAAACTTGAACACACTCGACACACAAGCCTGCAGCCTTAATTATTCTGTTTATCTTCATCTTTTCAAATAATTTTAATTTAGTTTAACTTTTTCTTACCTCTTGAACTTCTTGTAACATAAAAACCAAAAAACTTGAATATATTTTAATGGGATTTTATGGTTTATACTAACTCAAAGTAGTACATCATTTAAAAGTAAAAGAAAAAGGATACGTAGTTCCTCTACCATTTTTGTTTTTGTATTATTTTTTTTTCACATAGAAATCAGAAAAATATGGTGTACCTTTGTATTCAGCCCCTCTAGTAAAATCCAGTGAGATTGGTTTCCTTCATAAATTTCTTGAGAAGTCACTTGTGTATCTTTTTTTTTTCTCTTAAGGAATTTGTTGGAGACCATTAGTGACCGAATGGTAACATGAAATGGCCCAGTCAAAGTCCAGAACTAAATTCAACTGAGACTCATTTGCCAAACTTTGAAATTACTGTAATTGGACACTTTTCATCCTTTTTTGAGCTTTTTTTTTTTTCTTCAAAGAAACACTCCAAAAAAAAAAAAATCTAAGGACTAAGCTGGTAGACATATTGTGTTGAAAGGTGATTCTATAAAGTATCAGCTCAAGTGGGCTAAGTACAAACACATGCCACACTTTCCATTGTTGTTTTTTTCTTTAAGTCTTGAGAACCATTTATCCTTTTTCCTTTCCCTAAGTAAATGTTTGCTACTTTGATCTGGTTCAAGGTCAAGAGACAAACGTTTTCAAGTCTCTGTAGTTGAAGCTTTTATTTGAATAGGTACGACAGCAAGTTTGCTGCCAAGCTGCTTCTTGTGCATTTTTTTCTGCTGAATTAAAGGAACTTGTTGGACAAAATTGATACAGAAGAAGGTGTCACTTCCTGTATGAATAAAACAAAACAAAAAAAAAAACCAAGGCGGAAGTGTAAAGTCATTTAGTTTTTAGTGTTGCCCAAAAATAATGCTTACCTTTCGTCTCAAAAAAACCAAGTCACATGCTGAGTATTTCTTTTTCTTTCCACTTCTCGTGTTATTCAAAAAGTAGATTGAAACCCATGAGCAGGCCACTCAAAGATCCTGTCACATGCAGAAGCAGCAGAGGTCTTACACCATTGGACCTTTGCTGAGCCAATAGGAGCAGAGCACTGGGAGGGGGAGTGGCGGGTGACTAAAACTGTAGAGGGAAGAGACTTACTGTAAAAGAGGAGATGGGATTTTTTTTTTTTTTTTTTTGCAGCAGGCCCTGATGTTTGGAAACTGTGAGAGAATGGTTAAAAGACAAATGTGTGAGGAGTGTGAGCATGTGTGAAAGATGTTTGCCCAAACCTTTTCATCTGCTGCACAGGGGGGCTATAGCCACTGCCCGGAGGTGTTCAGTTGTGTCCCGCTAGGACCTACACGCCGGCTGGTAACCCACCTCAAAGTGTCTTTCTCTCTAGTCCAACCTGAGAAAAAATATTCTTCCTATATGTCAGGTTTAAGGAATTGATGAACATTTAAAAAGTAAAACTACTAGGTTGCTACTCGGAAACAGAATTTCGGGGGTGCGGGTTATTTCTGTATCAGCGGGCCTGTCAAAGTAAGGGTTTGGATTTTGAGATAAACCGCCTCATGACTGACTACTTCCTCCTCTGTTTGTCTGTTAATGCTGATGCTTCACATTGTCAGTGGTTTAAAAAAAAAAAAAGCACCAAGGCAGCAACACATTTTTGAAAGTTTCTTTTACATGTTTAAAAACAAAAACTACACTAACAGAACAATGAAATTTGACATTTCAAATCCAGATTATCATCTAGAGAAAAGACATTCGGAAAAGACACCTATTAAGTCATAGTTTGAGTGACCTCACCCAAAATGTATGTTATTTGGATGAACAAAACAGTTGAGTAACAAGTTTTGTTTTGTTTTGTTTTTTTAACGTCCAAGCCTCACAACGGATTCAAAACATGACGTGTACTTCCTCACATAAAGTCTGCAGATTTTTCCATTATACCAGTCAGAACCTATGGATGTAGCAGCCGGGTGCTGGATCAGATCTTGTCTGCCAGCTTTCAGCTCCAACCCGTACGGAGATGAAACTGCATTCCAGAGCAGAACTTATCAATCGAGACGATCGCTGTGGCAGACTGTTTACGTTTGCTTACGTGCTGGTCAGCTTGTGGCTTTTATTGTTCTGTTTCAAACGGCTGGCACTTAATTCCCACGCACAATCCATGTACCTGCATTAGCGCTGTTTTAAGTACAAAAAGCATCCTCCGATCCACTGTTGGCAAAAAGCTCATACAACTTAGTTTTTATGTTTCCAATAAAGTTGTTGATGACCTCAAGTTGCCTGCTGCATATCTGCAGTCAGGCTCTGTAATATTCCATGCAACTTGAAGAGGACAAGTCAGATATTCAAATGTTAGGCAATATGTTTATGCAATAAAGATATTGCATATTGCATTTCATAATGTACTGAATTATTAAGGGCTGCAATTTTTATAATGTGCTGAATTTTGAAAAAAGCACATTATATTTGAACCATTTTTGTGTCAGCTGTGTTAAATACTGATTGAATAAACATATAATCGTGTTTTTCTCACATTATTAAACTAACCAATTTTAATCTAATAAACCATTAATCAACAAGATGGTTAATTGTTTGCATCCATACTCCACACCGACTTATATCTGCATATACAAAGATCTGATGAAGATATTTTATAATTCTCGTTTTACAAATGAGATGGATTATAACTCTTGGTGTGTTGCTGTCTTGCTACAGACTCTCTGCCCTTCTGTGTTTTTGTTTCTTTGTGCTTTAACCTTTCACCTTCTACTTCTGTTTCCATCTCTTTTTTTTTTTTTTTTCTGTTTTTCCATGCCTTTCCAAAAAGTTTTGTCTGGCCAGTTTCCTCCTTATCCTGTGCATGTATCCAAAACAAATACTCACTGGAAAGTCGATTTGCCCTCTTCCCAGCAGACTTTTACAAGCGTTGCTTGTAAAAGTCACATTTTCACAGAGGTGAAAATGTACCTCGCACATTTTCACCTCTGATGTATCCCAGCCACCTTTTTCTTTGTGCATCTGCATGTTTTCATTTCAAACCAAAGAAACAAGTAGCCTTACTATGATAAGCAAGTCTTACTATGATAAATTCTAGTGTGAGTGAAAATGTGGAAGCTTTTCTTTCTTTTTTTTTTTTTTAAGCTTCCCTGTTCTCCATAAATAAAATATGAATTTAAAGCCTACATTTCTTAAACTTACTGGAAGGGGCTTTTTAGTTTGAGTACACACATCTTTCTGCCTTCCTCTAGTTTCTATCTACGCCTCAAAATGCAAACTCTTACTTCTTGCCCCTGTAATTGGCTACCTAGACAGCTTGTCCATTTAGCTGACTAAAACATAGAGCTTTGACAATTCTGAGTTATTAAAGGGAAACAACATAATCATTGCATTTGCATGTCCGGCATCACTGTCTAAACAATGCGCCTTCTGTCTCCAGGCAGTGTAAAGTTCATTGACTACGAGTATGCAGGGTACAATTACCAAGCCTATGATATTGGGAATCATTTCAATGAGTTTGCTGGTGAGTACAAATCCACAAAATGTGAAATGCTTCATTTTTGCTGTTGAAGTTTTTAAATTATTGGCCGTCTTTTAATGTCTTAGGCCTGAATGAAGTGGACTATAGTCACTACCCGGGGCAGGCCTTTCAGCTACAGTGGCTGCGCTCATACCTGGAGGCCTACAAGGAGCACAAGGGCCAGGATGGTGCGGTCACTGACACAGAGGTGGAGATCCTGTACGTCCAAGTCAACAAGTTCGCCTTGGTAAGTGTTTGGCATTAATAAATGCGTCACAGTACAGCTAAGTTTGAAAAATGGCCTTACTGATTGACAAAGCAGGTAACTGCCCCTTTCACTTGTTCAACAAATCATCCAGGTTCTTAGAGCCCAACTATAGTTTAAATTAGCTTTTGAGCAACACAGGCGTTTTGCTTCAACTGACGGACCATATCAAAACTTGTTGCTGCCATCTCTTCGGTGTTAGATTCTCTTCCTGTTCAGTATCTAAACTTGTCAGACTGGTAATCTGTTAGTACCTCATGGTGAAGCTCCTTTGTTTTTTGACTGAGCTGTCAGGGTTGAGTGTGGTGAAATCTTCTAAGAAGTGCTTTGCAAAACAAACATGCCATCGTTCCTGTAAAAATGGCTGTGGGACATTACTATGAAGTAACTGACCCTTTTAGTCTGTGTTTTTTTTTGTTTTTTTGTTGCAGTGTACCTTTTAGGTAAAACATCAACATTTCTTTATCTCATTGGAAGCTTCCTCGTTGCTAAAAATTAAGATGAGTGCAGTAAATTCTCTAGGCTGTTTTTGTGTTATGATTGAAAGACTGCTAACTACTTGTTTTCTGAGAGGACATGTTAGCTGGCTTGCTTATTGTGTCCAATAATTCAAAATTTGTGTCCAGGCTTCTCATTTCTTCTGGGGACTCTGGGCTCTGATTCAATCCAAGTTCTCCACCATCGACTTTGACTTCCTTGGGTATGTTTCTATCCTACAACAAGCTAGTGTGCTTACACTTGTGCTTAATTATTATTATTATTACTATTACTGTTTCGCCGTATTCAGCAGAACTTTTCTGCCATTTCTGCTGAAGCAGACACATCTGTAGCAGAGAGCATTTTGTTCCATCTCATTGCTGACCGTGCTCTTTTCTCTCTTTTCTACCTGAAGATATGCAAAGCTGCGCTTCAACCAGTACTTCAAGATGAAACCAGAGACAGCTGCTCTGACATTACCTGAATAAAACTTGGTAATCTCCCTTTTCTTCTTCCTCACGCTTTCTCCCCCGCTGCACCCTCATATGATGACTACAGGGTGCCCTCTAGAGGACTGTGTTGAAATTCCCTTTTGGTTCCCATTGTCCTTTTTTCCAAAGGAAAATGTACCTTGTGGGTTAAAATGAAGGACCTGTTATAATGTGAAGCCCATGTGACTAAATGGTTCTTATTTAGTCATTTTTGTACCGATACCATCTGGGATGTGGGCATTAGTACATACTGTATACTGTACTCTGTACTTCACTGTATAAGCTGTTACAGAGACAAAACAAAGTCTCCTACAAAACAGATATGGAGCAGGCACCTGATAGGCTGGGATTCTTTTTTTCTCATTGGATTATAATAATATTGGCAGACATGGAGAGCCTTGAGGGTTAGAAGGAGGAGGTGGAAAAAAAACACATGACACAAAGGCGGTTTTGTGTTCCAAGAAATAGATACGGGACGACTCCGTTTTGAATCTCATGTGATACGAGTTTCACCCCTCACCCCTTTCCTCCTGACTCTGTTTTCACCCTTATGTCGCCTCGTACTGTACATACATGTATGCTACACCAGAGTAGCCATGTGGTCACTGCTGAGCAGCTAAACGAGGGCTGTTGTGTTTGCAAACAGCGTCTTGTAGGAAGACGTCACGTGTTTAATTCTGACAAGTTGGGTGTCACTGGATCGCCTTTTCAATTTGGTGTAGATTTCATACTTTTGTTGGCACTCTTATGTTTTTCTTTCTTTCTTTTTTTTTTCCATGGTTAGCTGCTTCCAGGAATTTGAACATTCCATGTTCATAACGTCGTGCAGGAAGCATGGTTGCACCCGTACGTTCGGTCAGTAGTGCTAGTGGGATTGAAGTAGTTACTGTTTTAGACAAGACCAAACATTTCACTGTCCGTGTGGGGATTCTCTGTGTATTCCATCAGTTTGCTGTTCAGTTCTGGTCGTCTTCGTGTGCTATACACTGACCACTCCTAAATCGAACATCATATGTCTGAGCCAATGCTTGGAAACGAGGTGCAGCATGGTGAATGTTCTTGTTTAAAATAGGCATGGGTTGGAATGCCGTTTCCAGAAATGACCTTTGTAAAAGAAAAATAAAAAAAATTTCTAGATTTGTACACAAAATGTAAAATAAACTTGTTAAACATGATCCAGTTGATTTTATTTTTAGTGGAAAATTCCTACTGATGTTTAAAAATGTATGACATTGCTTAGTGATTATGTTTTAGATTATTTTGATACAGAAATATGGAATGAATCCTAGCCAAATTTGGTTGGAATCTTCAAGTATACATGCTTGTTACAGCTTTTAACACTGGCACTATAACTGGTTGGTAAAAACTGTGGTCACCGTGGCACATTTTCTGGCATTTCATCAAAAGGACCATACATTGTATTTTGTTGTTTTCGTTTCACATTGATGTCGGTAATTGGCCCATGCCTAGTTTAAAGCTCAAATTAGTCGGACAATGAGTTTGTTGGGGAGGATATAGGCCTCTTGATATTGAAAGCCAATTTATTCTTCATTCTCAAACAAGCCAACACCTTGCTGCCACCTTGCTTGTACATTGTGCACATTTCTGTTTCGACAGGGAGTTAGTTATATTTTTTATGTATATATTTTTAAAAGGACATAGTCCAGCCTGGAATGTCGTGTGAAATGTTCCTGTTCCTGCACATTACCTGTTAAGGAGTCCATTTCCTTGTGTAACATGTGAAAGCACACATTTAACACTTCTAGTAAGTGACTCTTAAAGCCTGTTCACTTGTTTTACTTGGCGACATAGTGAAGAATAAACTGACAGTTTGAGTTGAACCCAATCTAATGTAGATGTTTTGAACCACGATTGATGTGAAAAACTTGAGTTGGTGACAAGAGACTTGGATTAACTAGTATTTTTAAGGGATCTGCAGGAGGAAGTTTTTTCTTTTTACATATGGTTAATAGACTTTCAGATCATGTTTACTTTAAATTTATATTTCCTCAAATTTTACTTTTACATTGGATTCATTTGTAAATGACAAATTCAAATACTTTTTACACTTAATACATCTGTTCCAATACAACCATGACTACACATTTTTAGATGGTTCTAAATGATGTGCCCTTAAATCTCTCTGGTCACTGTAGCATTTTATATTTACATCAAGCGTATGTATTGTAATGCTTACACTCTAATGTGAATAAAAATGTACATAGCAGAATTTTTATGGGTTTTTTTTTATTTTGAAGATTGCATTAAAGTGTGGTTGTCTGATGTAAGAGGCTATCTTGGATAAAATGCTTTTGAAAATAAAGTCTATTTGCAAATAAGGGTGTCATTCTTGATGTGTTCTTACTTTAACTGTGTTTATGATGGGAGAAATATTTGGCATTATCTGCAGATTGCTATTTTTATTTTTGCCATAAACATTCCTTCAGAGTATGCCGTATTTGGCACAACCATAGATGTAGATTGATTAGAAGAGCTTCTTTGTTCCTTAATAAATTGTTTATTTTTTATTTATTTATTTATTTAAACATTTAGTCAAAGTACATTTTTCGTAGCTTTTAATCTAAAAAGTATAACCAGACTTTTTCAAAGTTCACTTCAGGTTTCTACACACTGACATCAGCTGGTTCAGATCACAGCAGAAATCTGAGTTTGTACCACGGATGACCACAAGATGGCGACACAACCCATAGAAAAACATCGTCCTGCTCAAATGTAACATGAATCTCACACACTAATCTTATTCAGCATTTGATTGTTGTGAATAAATCTAAATTGACATATAAAAATATATACAAACTAAACTCTGGTCATGGTCTGCGTGATCTCTATATGGAATTAAAAGAACATGCGGAGTCTGGCTTACATTGCATGTTGACTCAACTTTCTTTTGCTAAAAAAATTTTAGCTTTACAGCCAAATTCAGTTAAACGTAATATGTTTACGTAAATGCAGTAAGGGAAATAAAACGGAGTAATTGTGCACTGTAAAACAGCGGGACGCTAATTTATTAGTTTGTTTATGCTAACCCAATGGTTAAATTCATGCCTCACACCCCAAAACCAAACAAATAACTTCTACTATTCTCTCGAAGCGTATTCTCTCCTCGTCTCCCTAATATGAGCAGCGTCTTATACAGTGGAACAATTACAACAGTGCGTTATCCAACTCACTGACTGTAATTCAATTATCCTCTTCCCCCCGGCTTCATCCACCCAGATAATACACACATTAATTAACAACAGAATCCAATATCGCCTGTTCTGCGCCTCCACTTATTTTCATTTCCAATAAAAAGGTCACAGCAGCCACTTCCCACCGAAGACAATTAGTGTAAGTGTGTAGTAATGGATTACGCTTGTAAATCACCAGCGGCCCAAAGTGTGTGACGGGGAGCGGGAAAGTGAGCCCGGCGGTAGCGGGAGGGTGCGGCCTGGGAGAACGGAGGTGCTGACGCGGCTGCTATTAACATCCATCAGACGTGTCATTCCGGAGAACTCATAAAGCAAAATCTCCGCAAGGTGGATGTTTTGCATCACGTATTCCGGAGGAGCAGAAGGAGATTCTTCCCTCTGTTTCGTTTAGGTTCAGCGGCAGATCACAGCAGTTAAACACTGGCGTGGTCCAAACGGCGTGTAGCGCGAGTCCTTCGTCAATTCAGGATGGAGGTTTACCATAGAGGCTGGCTATGTTGCTAGAGTTTTGCATGCTTTCCTCGTGATTACCTAGGGTTTCTCCGGGTACTCCAGTTGCCAGAGCACTGTTCAGTCTATGGCTTGAAAACAGAAACAATCAATCTGTCGCTTGGAAGCAAGAATATTCTATTTTTATAGCCCAAGGTCGATAAAAAAACACCTTGATAATCCTGTCTCTTATAGTAGATACACTAATTCATTATTTGATTTTATTTGATTATTTGAGTTATTTTTTTTATTATTTATTCATTTTTCTGACTGTTTAATTGTTCTTTTCTTTTACATTATACTATTTTGTATTTTATTCGTCGTAATCTTTCCCTGGGAAATAGAGGTGTTGCAGGAGTTTTATTTACCATGATGCACAGGTGAACTTGTCTTTTCTTCTCAAGTTTTGAATTCGCATTTTGATATTGTGAGTTTTGTAAAATTAGCTCTGCAAACCAACATAGACGTGGCCATCCACCCACACTGACAGGCTGGGCAAGAGCATCAATCAGAGAAGCAGCCATTGAACCTATAGTAACTCTGGAGGAGCTCCAGAAATCCCCAGCTCAGATTTCTTAACTTATGAAGAAAGGCATTGTGGAGACATATGTCCTATTTACAAAAACTCCATATCTGCAGAGTCCACGTTATCTTGCATCTTGCAACTCCAGACAAGGGAACAACTTCTGACTCCTTAGCTAACCAACTGAAAGTGCCTGAAAGAGTACGAGTGAGAAAAGAGACATGGATGAAAACTCAATAACTCATGGCAGCATTCTCCCACTGTCACAGATGAGCAGACAGTAAATCAGGAAAATGCCAGAGTGAATGGGAGGGGGCAGGGTCAGTAGAGTTTCAGTCATCCTCACTAAGGCGGCGACCTAATTACCCAAAGAGAGGGAAACAGTAATTAGCAGAGAGTCTCACCTCGTTAATCACAAAGGGCTCCTTCACTCTATTTATATCTGATTAATGGCTTGCTTAAGCACGCTGAGGTATTTATGTTTCTGTTAATTGTGTGCAGCTTGTCTCCTCTCAGCTCGCTGCAGATTGCTAACACCCCCAACTGATGCACACACCTCCATGACACCTTTCCCCAACTTTATTTATGTATTTTTTTTCATTCTCAATTTGACTTACTGGCTTCCTGACTTAAAGATGACAAGAAGTTGTTTCTCCAAATTTTAGTTGTCATGCTTTTCTGCTAATCTTAAATGTTATCAAATGATTTAATTTATTAAGCAATGAAAGCTACCCACACCAATCTGACCCTGCTTGAAAAGAAATAGCCTCCTATGTCTAATCACTAACACCCTTGGCTGAGAACTACTGCTATTAAGCATTTACGAGAACTGGCAGTGAGTCTTAAGCTTTGCTGTGAAGAAATTTTGGCCCATTCTTCCGTCCAGAATTGTTTCCTTTTTGTAGCCAAATTGGAGGATTTTTTTCAAGCACCAACAACCTGTTTGAGGTCATTCCTCTGCGTCTTAATTGAATTCAAGTCTGAACTTGGCTGGACATTATGACCAGGCATTCTGCTTAAAAAGTTTCTGCTAAAGATAAAACAAAATTTATATTTTCATCAGTCACTGATTTTATGAAATGCTGCTTGTTTTACACCCGATTTAATGGGATGAACTAGCCTGGTAATAACCAGCCCCTTGTTCTACAGAGGATCTGGACTCTTGGTCCCCACAGTTTGGGAACCTCTGATCTAGAGGATCATCAAGATTTTTCATTTTTGCCAATTGTGTTACATGCCTTATCATTCTTTTTGGTCAGCAATGGTTTTGGTCTTGAGAATCTTCCATAAATGCCGTTTATGTCCACTTTCTTTATTACTGTTAAATTGTTTACACAGAATTTAACTAAGACAAGAGGAGCCTGGAGTACTTACAATGTTGTTCTGGGGTCTTTTGTGACTTCCAAGATGAGCTACAGATGAGCTCTTAGAGTAATTTTGGTTGACCGGTCAATCTGGGTAAGGATTATATTTCTAACGGTGGTTTGCAGGACTCCCAAAACCTTAGAAATATCTTTAACTATTTCCAGACCGACAGATTTCAGGGATTGTTCCACATCAGTTCTTCTGGCCT